GACGCTTCGCTCAGTATGTCCACCCGTAAACAGACTACTTGAGAAACGTCACATTTGATGGTTTCGGCGGCGCGCGGAGAAGAGTCGGCGGAGACGATCCGTGCTGCCGTGACTAGCGGCGCTCCGCGATGTAACGTTAATGGGAGCCGGTTTGTATTGTTCGTTAGCCTAGCTCGTTAGCCTAGCCGTGAAGCTAAGCTAACGAGCTATAGAAAGGCGTGAAGCTTCTGTCGCGTCAACCGTGCGCGTGCCGCCTTTGAGTCGTTTCTGCGTATTAACTACATGACATTACTTTGATTACACGTGGGTCCATTGGTGGATAAACGGGCTCTTTGCGAGGCCCGGCGGCGGGAGACCGCGTTCGCGCTGCCGCTGTCCTTCCCCGCTATCGTCGGTACCCGTTAACTTCACATCATGTACCGGCGTCCTCGTGCTGCGGTGTTTAGCGAGCTACGCGTCAGTAGAACCTGTACTTCAGGTGTGTGACTGACGTCTGTTCTCCTGCAGGTTGACCGGATGGAGATCGCCTCGTGTGCTTGAACCCGCCTCCAGCCACCATGTCAAGTGAGTGACGTGAAGCCATCAGGCCTCCTGACTGACGTCCCTGTTCGCATTGTGTCTGGATGAGACTAGAATAAAGATCGTTATCATATCTTATATTTTGGAGATGCCCTGAACAACGGTACTGATTTCCGGTATGAATCGATAACTGTTCATCAAATGTATCCTGTTTCTTTCTTGTTGGCATCCAGGGATTATTTTAATCAAACCATTGTGAATTAAGAGAACCTCTTATTCGCATTAATAGTTTTACTTATAATAAACTGCTTTGCTACTGTCAGTTCATTTAGACTTTTATATACAAACTACTTGATTTCTCACCAAACTAAACGTTACCAGACTTCACCTGGACCCGTTATGACATGAGAATGTTCTTTCAGTAAATGATGGTCCTGTAGAGTCCAATAGTGATTGACAGGTAGCCGTCATCACTATGGCGACTACTGTTCAAGGCCGTCCACTGGTCCACTTCCTGTATACAGGCGATGGTTCTGACCCAGACGGGCTGTTGACACTGACTCAATGGATGAGTCTCCTTCCTGTTCTCAGCGTCTCTGCTGTAAAAGTATATAAACTATGGCCGTTAAATGCACCAAAGCAACCTACTGACGTGTGTTTCTCTCCCTCAGAACGACCATCCTACGCCCCCCCTCCTCCCCCCGCCCCAACAACAGTAAGTGTCCTGGTCTCGCTCTTCCAGCTTAGTGGCCATTGTCCTCCTATATATTTATTTATTGCTTTCATGGTTCCTCTCGCGGTGGAAGAGCTCCGTCATCACTCACTTCTGCTTTCTACGATCATACCACTCACTTATGGTTTTGGGCAGAATGTTTATATGCCGCACACACGTTTATGAATTGCTTATGATTTGTCATATACGGCATTAATGGGTGTGAATATTACAGTTTAGCACATGTATGTAGAAAGACGTGATGCTTTTCGTTTTGGCAGAAGTGTTTGACGTTGATGTAACTCGTCCATCAACATTCACCTCGTGAGGCCGGCGTGAAGTCAGGGAACGCAAACGAGTCCCCTTTTCCCCTCTTACTTGTTTATGTTTATCCCTCTTCCTCTTGTTTGTAAACCATTTCTCATTCGTATTTTGTCTCATTTGTCTTCCATCAGCAATTGCCTTCCACCCCCGGGTTTGTGGGCTACAACCCGTACAGCCATCTGGCCTACAACAACCTGCGGCTGGGAGGGAGCTCCGGAGGCTCCAGCAGGGTAACTCAGATCATGGGATAAAGGGAGGGGGGGCCACCGTATGGCATCACACGCTGCAGGGCACGTGTGGACCTCCGGTCTACAGCCAGTCTCTGGACCAATCAGCTGGGCCTTTGTCATCCTCCTAAAAGAAAAATAACATTTTAACATATAAATCAATACTTTTTACAGTAATTCAGACTTTTCAGTGAATATGTTTAAGTCTGCTTCACCAAACAAGCAAGTAAATCATTCGATGGGACCTTCTTCAGTGCAGAAACAGCTGTAAGTAAGCGGAGCAGAATAGCAACTCAGCGGTGGTTCTTCATGTCAACGAGCCGTCGCTGTAGAACCTTCACACAAAGAGCTGCTGCAGTTCATCACCACCATGAACCTGTTGTAAATCTACAGGTCAATGTTTTTATGCAAAGGGGCTCCCATGGAGCATCACTTCTGACGCCCTGTTATCGTGTTCTACAGCCGCATGAATACTTGGTGCATCATCGTGTTTGTATGGGACAGGACCTCACGTTCCTCCTTCTGGACGCTCTGATTTGCTTCATCGCCGTCGCTCAAAAACGGCATTCTGCTACTCGGCAAACTCCTAAATGTAGATTTCGGATTTGTAATTGTTAATTGTCTTAACTTGCCCTTCAAGGGACGTCTGGCAGCCACGAGTCTGTGTGCTGCATGTGTCCCCCTGTAGGACGTCACTAAGCATCCAGTCCCGTCTGCAGCAGAGCATCAGCTGCTTTATCTTCCTCTCCTGTGTGAACACTGAACGCTCTTTCTCTCCCCCCCACAGAACTCCTCCGGCATCACCGTCCCAAAGCCCCCCAAACCTCCAGACAAGCCCCTGATGCCTTACATGCGGTACAGCCGGAAGGTAAGCAGGAAGGTAAGACACCCATCCACGGTGTCTGCTTTTACTGCTTGTCCTCCCGTCCCCTGAACAGTTGCAGGGGGTTTCTGGGGGGGAAACAGCCAAGCCATGACGCCCCCCCCCACCTCAGGCACCCAGCGGCCGCTCTGTTTTACCGCTGGCTTACAGCACCTCCCCATTTCTGTCAAGGATAAAGAGAAGCTGCAAGCATGACCTGCTGCGCCTTCACCCCCTGTGCATGCTGCTCTGCTGCTCCTCTAGTGATGATGTACATGTCGCTCCGCCCATACCAGCCAATCACTGTGTCCATAGACAACGACGTCTTCCTGCTCTCTGCACTCTTATAGGAGCCCCACTTGCCATTTGCTGCAGTTCCCCCCTTGTGACCTCATGTTGTTTCTGTGTGCAAACACAAGGTATGGGACCAGGTGAAGGCATCCAACCCGGACCTGAAGCTGTGGGAGATCGGAAAGATTATCGGAGGGATGTGGAGAGACCTGACGGATGAGGAGAAACAAGACTACCTGAACGAGTACGAAGCTGAGAAGGTGAGGGGGGGGGACTCACGTCTGTGGTCTCAGCAGATTGTGTCCCATCTGAAAAGTCAAAATTGCTTCTCAAACTCGCAAATGCCATTATTTATTTTCCCTTCAGGGGAAACTGGATAGACACGTTTGTTTTAGGCTGTAGGTCAAGAAGTCACCAGCTGATTGTGACTAGTTGACATTGATCAGTGCTGAGGGCGAACAACCGTTATTTAAGGTCTCCGTCTCTAAAGGTCCACTCAGGCTGCCCTAGTTGTTCCTGTGTGGCCACCGGCCTCTTTACCTGACCAAGTATTTCACATGAACAATAAAGCAGCAACACACCGGAGAGGTGGTCCTGATCCTTCCTTTCCTGCCTCCCGCCTGTCAGATCGAGTACAACGATTCTCTGAAGGCCTACCACAACTCACCGGCCTACCTGGCCTACGTCAACGCTAAGAACCGGGCCGAGGCTGCCATGGAGGAGGAGAGCCGGCAGAGGCAGAGCCGCATGGACAAAGGGGAGCCGTACATGAGCATTCAGCCCGCCGAGGACCCCGATGGTGAGTAGTGAAGTCAACCTATTGAGGCTGGTTAATGGTTGTGCCTTCACGAGGAGACGTGGAGCTGGAAGCCCACTGCTCAGTTTCTCTTTCCTTAAGTGAGCCTCGAGCAGCCGGTGCTCCTCGGTGCTCCTCTGGCCTTTGTTTGCTGGTTGTTGTTTTAACTGCTGGCCGTTCAAACATGGAGGAGTTGTGACGGTACGTTTAGCTGCTCCGTCGGGCGGACTGTTGATCGTCGTCCTTTTCCGTGGTCCAGACTACGACGATGGATTTTCAGTGAAGCACACAGCAGCCGCTCGCTTCCAGAGGAACCACCGGCTCATCAGCGACATCCTCAGTGAGATCGTGGTGCCCGATGTGCGCTCGGTGGTCACCACAGCCCGCATGCAGGTCCTCAAGAGGCAGGTCCAGTCCCTAATGGTGCACCAGGTACGTACGATATGTGAGAGGAGCACAAAGTGGACAAATACCAGCTACTACCTCAGAGACAAAAATTTGTATTTCATGTTCAGAGGAAGCTGGAGGCAGAACTTCTGCAGATTGAGGATCGGCACCAGGACAAGAAGAGACGCTTCCTGGAGACCACTGACTCGTTCAACACTGAACTCAAGCGGGTACACAATGGCGTTGTCCACCTTCTGATGGCGGCCGCTAAATGGAGAGCTTCACACGTGTTCCTTTTTGTTTGCAGCTCTGCGGCCAGAAGGTGGAGGTGGACATGGAGAAGCTGGCATCCGAGATGGCCGCTGCCGAGGAGGCGGCCAGGCGGCGGGCGGAGGACAGGGAGCGGGAGGCAGTGGAGCAGGCGGAGAAAGCTGCTCAGCAGCAGCAGGAGGCAGCTGGGAGCAAAGCTGCAGAGCAGGGCGGAGTCAATGCTAGCAGCGCGGCTAGCAGCGCCGCCAACCCCACCTCAGGAGCCACGGAGGAGGACACGCCCACACCAATGGAGACGGGTACCTTCAGCTTTTGCTACTTTTGCAGTAGTGACGTGCTGCACATTAGACATGACTTCTGTAGGCACCTTCATGTATTATTATTTCAGAGGAAGCGCTGGTATGGAACGGCCCCTCTGACGATGGGGGCTCGTGTGGGTTTGAGTACCGCCCCTTAACTGCTTACTGGACTTCCTCTCAAACCGTTTTAAACCTGACCCCTTAATCTCTCTCCCTTCCCCCCAGATGAGGTGGCACCTACAGAACCCTCGCCAGACCCCCAACTGGCTCCTCCTGACCACGCCCCCTCTGCTTCCGATAAACCGCCCCTCCCCGGAGGTGACAGGAGAGCAGCACTCCTGGCAGCAGCACTCCGAGTGATGGACAGCAGGAACAGCATGCCCCCCCCCTCCTCAGACAGCAACGCTGGAGCAGCAACACCCGACCCCCCCGCGGCTCAGGAAACCAACTCCAATGGCGGCTAACGCTAACGTGGCTGCAGCGCCTCCGCCTCCCTCAGAAGAAGCAGCCCCCCCAGCAGCACTGCGATCCCCCAGCCAGAGCAGCCAGCCGTATGATGCATAGACGCTACGGGGGGGGGGCTCTCAGCAGATTGGTCCGTAGATGGTTTACACCCTGGTGGGTCATGAGGGGGCCGCTGTTGTCAAAGCATTAAACACCACCTGGTGGTCGTTTCTAGGATCTGCTCCGTCACCACGGCGCTACGCTCACAGTACAAAGCAGCACGTCCTGTGATCATTGAAGCCGTCTTACTGCCGCGCTGTGTGTGACGGGCAAACTGCAGAGCTGAACCACACTTTGTACTGTGCATGTTTGAACATCACACACTTCCAATGTCACCGCAACCTTTAAGTCGGTCCTTCAACAAGACGGCAGCTGCAAACATCACATGATCCGTGTCGAGGACGCCCCCCCCACATACATGTTGGCGTGTCGCTTTGCGTGACCTGCAGAGCCAACACTTTTTTTGTTCTTAGAGACGTAGTTGATCCTTTTTTAGATGTTGAGCCTCGTATGAACGCTTCACCCCGCTGGCTCCTCGTGACTCTCAGGTCAGAGGTCAGTATGGAGGAGGCCACGGTGTCCTCATCCTGCATGCCACATTACAAGCCGAACAGCTGCTGGAGTCCTAAAGGGTGGAGGGAAACGTAACTGAAAAAGAAATTTAAAAAGCTGTTGTATAAAGGTCCCATTGAGCATCAGCAGGTAACATGGATGTAGTGAGTGTGCATATTAACACCCCCATTCAAACAACTTTTTTCCTACTTGAATTGGACTGTTAGTGCGCCTGTTTTTTGCATCTTTCTTTTGTACTGACTTATGTAGCCAAATAAAGAGGATTTCTCAGTCTGTCGTTGTTGTATTTTTCTGTTAATTGTTTTCTGAGATCCTATTTATCAGACCGTAAACATGAAACCTTTACTCCGTTAGTCCACAAGCTTCTGGGAAGAATATTATATTGATTCCTGATTTTTAATTTTTTTTAGAGAGACTAAACTTTCATTTACTTCAAACTGTCCTAAGGACGTTTCTTTTTTAACCACTCTGATCATTTCTGTGTCTTTGAGAGTGGAGCAAAACAAATGTGCAGGTCCGCTGTGACGTCTATAAAGACAGACTCTGTAATTATAATTCTGAACTTGTTCACTGACATAAGTAAAGATAATCGCACACGCACCTCGCCGCTGGTTGTCGAGGTGGTGCCCAGTAAATAATGTGGGCTTCGTTGATCACTGGAAGACGTTTTGGGGAGAGCCTGGTCTGATTAGGAGGGACGGCATCCATCCCACTTTGGACGGAGCTGAACTTCTTTCTAAGAACCTGACCCAGTTTCTTAGTGGACTTGATCCATGACCCAGAGTTCAGACCAGGGAGCAGAGTCGCAGTCTTACACACCTCTCTGCGCTTCAATCTGAGCAGTCACTCAGCATAATGAACCCTATAGAGACCTTGTCTGCCCCACGGACACACTTATCTAAGTTAAAGGTAAACAACCCAGGAGTTGTAGTAAATAACTTAATTAAAGTTAAAACTAATAATGCAACAGTGCAACAAAATAGGAGAATTAAAGGGGGTCTTTTGAATATCAGATCTCTGTCATCTAAAGCTGTTTTGGTAAATGAACTAATATCAGATCACCATGTTGATGTATTTTGTCTTACTGAAACGTGGTTGTTGAATGGGGAATATTTCTGTTTAAATGAAGCGACTCCTCCGAGTCATGTTAATACTCATATTCCCCGAGGCACAGGCCGAGGGGGGGGAGTGGCAGCTATTTATACTCCTGCCTTTTAATAAACTTTAAACCTAAGGTGGATTGTAACTCATTTGAAAGCCTGGTTTTCAGTCTTTCGCAACCGACCTGGAAAATAATCCAGCCGGTTCTCTTTGTAATAGTGTACAGGGCCCCAGGTCCTTATTCAGAATTTCTTTCTGAATTTTCACAGTTCTTAACGAGTTTGGTCCTTAAAACGGACAAGGTAATTATTGTGGGTGACTTTAACATTCATGTGGATGTCGACAACGACAGCCTTAGTACTGCATTCCTTTCATTGTTAGATTCAATTGGTTTCTGTCAGTGTGTAAATAAACCAACTCACTGTTTTAACCACACTCTCGACTTGGTTCTTGTGTATGGGATTGAGATTGAACATTTAACAATTTTTACACAGAACCCTCTCCTGTCGGACCATTGTCTAATAACCTTTGAATTTCTACTATCGGAACCACCTCCTCCTGCCAAAGGTTTCTACAGTCGACGCTTATCGGATAACGCTGTAGCCTTATTTAAAGAAGCCATTCCTTCTGCTCTAAGTTCAGTGCCCTGCCTCAAGATACAAGAAGACTCCTGTGAGAACCTCAGTCCGTCCCAGATGGATCATCTTGTCGATGCTGCTACAGGCTCTTTGAGAGTGGCGCTGGACGCTATTGCTCCTCTGGAAAGAAGAATAGCAAGAAGAAGGAAGTCTGCTCCGTGGTATAACCCTCAAACACGGAACCTAAAGCAAACTGTCCAGAAACTTGAATGATTATGGCGTTCCACCAAATCAGAAGGATCTAGGCTAGTTTGGCAAGACAGCCTTAAAACGTATAAGAAGGCTCTCCGTAACGCAAGAGCATCTTATTACTCATCATTAATAGAGAAAAATAAAAACAACTCCAGGTTTCTCTTCAGCACTGTAGCCAGACTGACAGAGAGTCACAGCTCTGTCGAGCCATGTATCCCTTTGGACCTCACTAGTAACGACTTCATGAACTTCTTCAATGATAAGATTCTGACTATCAAAGAGAAAATTGATGGTCTCCTGCCTTCAACCAGTGCCGACCTGTCCTCCGATGTAGGAACCTTGGATGCAGCAGTGGGCCCTGATGCCTGTTTGGATGCCTTCTCTTCCATCAACCTTGATCAACTGACTTCTTTATTTTCAAAGTCTAAATCTTCTACTTGTCTCTTGGATCCGATTCCGACCAAACTGCTTAAGGAAGTTTTTCCTTTAGTTATCACATCCTTATTAGATATTATGAATCTGTCTTTGTTGACAGGACATGTACCACAGTCCTTCAAGGTAGCTGTAATTAAACCTCTTCTTAAGAAACCTACTCTTGCTCCAGAGGTGTTGGCTAACTACAGACTATCTCTAATCTTCCCTTCCTCTCTAAGATCCGTGAGAAATCCGTCGCAAATCAATTATGTGACTTTCTACAAAACAATGCTTTGTTCGAGGATTTCCAGTCAGGATTCCGAGTGCATCACAGTACAGAAACAGCACTGGTGAAAATTACTTGGATGACCGGCAACTTCCTGATGCTAAACTCAGAAAAAACGGAAGTTATCCTGATAGGCCCAGAGCGCCTTCGAAGCCAGCTGTCACGTGATACAGTTGTTATGGATGGAATTGCTCTGGTACCCAGCAGCACCGTCAGGAATCTGGGAATTCTCTTCGACCAGGATATGACCTTCAACTCGCATATAAAGAAGATTTCAAGGACTGCCTATTTCCATCTACGTAACATATCAAAAATCAGGAACTTCCTGTCTCAAAGTGATGCAGAAAAATGAGTTCATGCGTTTGTCACTTACAGACTGGACTACTGTAATTCTCTGTTATCAGGCTGCTCTTATAAATCTCTTAAGCCTCTCCAGTTGATTCAGAATGCTGCAGCACGTGTATTAACAAGAACTAAGAAAAGGGATCATATCACTCCTGTATTAACTTCTCTGCACTGGCTCCCTGTTAAATCAAGAATAGATTTTAAGGTACTTCTCCTCACCTACAAGGCACTTGCTGGTGAGGCACCATTGTATCTTCAAGAGCTTGTAACACCGTATTGCCCTACAAGGCAGCTGCGCTCCATAGATGCTGGGTTACTTGTTGTTCCTATGGTTTTAAAAAGTAGGCTGGGGGCCAGAGCCTTCAGTTAGCAAGCTCCTCTTTTGTGGAACCAGGTTCCACTTTCAGTCCGGGGGGCAGATTCGGTCAGCTCTTTTAAAGTAAAACTTAAAACGTTCCTCTTTGATTCTGCCTATAGTTAGGGCTGGCTCAGGTTAGTCCGGACCAGCCCTTAGTTAAGCTGCTGTAGGCTTAGACTGCCGGGGGAATTCTTAGGACACACCGAGCTCCTCTCTCACGCTCTCGTTCTACCATAATTCAAGTTTTATTAATGCACATGACTAATTCACTTTCTTCGGGGGAGTTTTTTTTGTGCTTTCTCCCCTATCAGGTCTCCGTAGATCGTGGTTCCTTCGGGACCCTGGTCCTGACACCTACCGTGGCCCTGCTGACGCCTGCTGCTGCCATCATCATCATCATCATCATCATTATTATTATTTTAGATATTAATCATATTACTGTACTCGTAAACCAACATTACCCTCTGCTAAAGTCTCTGTGCTCTCCCTCCCCACCGGATTCTGTGGATGGTGGTTCTATCTGAAGGTGGTTCTATGTGACAGTGGTTCTATGTGACGGTGGTTCTATGTGATGGTTGTTCTATATGATGATGGTTCTATGTGACGGCGGTTCTATCTGATGGGGGTTCTATCTGATGGGGGTTCTATCTGATGGGGGTTCTATGTGACGGTGGTTCTATGTGACGGTGGTTCTATGTGATGGTGGTTCTATGTGATGGTGGTTCTATCTGATGGTGGTTCTATGTGACGGTGGTTCTATGTGACGGTGGTTCTATGTGACGGTGGTTCTATGTGACGGTGGTTCTATCTGATAGTGGTTCTATCTGATGGTGGTTCTATCTGATGGTGGTTCTATGTGATGGTGGTTCTATGTGATGGTGGTGGTCCCTGCAGTGGTCCTGCTGTGCGTCTGGTTTACTACTCACAGTTACTTGAATCATTTCTGTCATATAGTCTCATGTATTATACATTGTTCATTCTGTACACATGACATCATCGTAGTCTGTCCATCAGGAGACGGATCCTCCTCTGACGTTCTCAATAAGGTTTCTTCCCTTTTTTCCCTCTTGGAAGGGTTTTTTCATTTTTTGGAGATTTTTTCCTGTGCTGATGGTGGGTTTTGGGACAGAGGATGTTGTATGTGTTCACACTGTAATTTGCGATTTTGGGCTATACAAAATAAAATCATAAGTCATCCTCCTGCTGCTTAGATATTCTTCCAACACACTTTTTCAAAAATATCTCAAACAATTTGACCACTGATCTCCAACAAATTGTAAACACATCC